TAAAATCTAAGAATAAACAAATTTCAAGTTGCCTAAAGAATGTTTTTTGGATTTATTTTTTTGCAAATGTTATGGGTTGCGCAGTAGCGAAATACCCCCAACCCCCCAGCCAGACTTTGGATTCTGGGTTCACAAGTTATTAAACTTTATTTTTTTTTGTTATTCTAACTTGCCTAAAATATGTTCTCTAAATATGTCGCCAGCTCTCCGGCTATATGTTTTAATTATAAACAGAATACTTATTGAGCTCCCGTTGTAGCTTAAACATAAATGCGGATGCCTGCTTTTTACACTTGTATAGGTAACGAAACTTTATACTTTTTATGAAGCTCGATGATAGATAATATATGTAATAAGTACCATACGATCGAAAAAAAATGGGGTCAAAAAGGCCTATATTGGTTTATTTTTTATAAAATTATAAGATATAATTTTAATCTCTGTGCCTGCTTGATAAATATATATTTTAGAATACCAGTCATGACATAAACATAAAACATGCATATAATATTGCATATTTTTGCACTAACAAACAAAATCAATATAAATATTAGTTTAGGTAGGTGTACCTAGTAATTATTTTAATTGCACGAAACGGTCAATTTTGCTGTCATTATTAATACGATATCTTCTTCACGTACGTAATAATTTGCTATGAAAATATATTAATATTTGAGGAATGTAAATTCTAAATAATAATACACATGGAATTCTCATGTTTGTATTAGTTTTTTTTTAATAGGGTACATTATTATACAAGATGATTAGTTTTTTAACAGTCGAAAGAAAACTTATTTTAAGAAAAAAAAATTTTCTATCAACATATACGAGTATCTACAGTATGTCCCTTGATCGTCTTTAAAAGTGAAAAAATGTTTATAATAAAAAAAGTGTTTTCTCTTGTAAAGACGAGCTGGGGACACACTGTATACCACGCTTTCATTCTAACATACAGTATATAAATATATTTAATATACATCTTATTTAAAAGATACGTATAATATTTCGTTATTTTTTATTAAAAAAATATGTCAACAAATTAAAATATAATTTTATCATTTAAACAATAGCTAATATCTTAAATTATTTAATACTAGGTATTCCAAAAATATATTTTATATGTTTGGGCGGATTTTCTTCGAAGTTTTATATAACTTCTTGTCAAGGAACAATAAAAAACTTTTATATTTCCGATAAAGAGGCTATTAAGTATTAATTTATATATATATATATATATATATATATATATATATATATAGTATATATATATATATATATATATATATATATATATATATATATATATATATATATATATATATATATATATATATATATATATATATATAATTTGTAACATTATAACTTGAGGTTACTAGGTGGAATGTGTGTCTGTGAAACGTCATATTTTCTTTATATTATAATATACATCATATTTTAATTATAGAATATAATATATTATAATATATATATATATATTATATAATTATATTTTATCATAAGATATAATATACAGGGTGGTGCGAACTGTATTCCGGAAACTTCGGCAGCAATATAAATAAATGTATATCCTAAAATGCTTAGTTTAGGAGATATAGGGTGTAAAAGTTTCATTTTTATTTCGATTTTTTCCAAATAATTTCTAAAGTAACGTCAATATTTGGATGAAAATTGGTCTCTGGGAGTTTTTTAACATAATGTCAAGGTGTATTACTGGTTGCATTACTGCATTCTGCTAAAAAATCGCAACGTGCCTTGAGGAACCTGGCGCATTCGCCAGAAAGTAAAGAAAATTATAGAATTCTTTAGAAAAAATCTAGAAACAACCGCCAGGGGGTATATAAGGCCCGCGCTTTGACAGTTGGAAAAGTTTAAGTTTGAAGTTTGAAGTTTGAAGTCTAAGTCTGAAGTTTGAAAATACCGCGAAATACCGTTAGAGTAATAGTAGTTGCATAAGTTGTGTTGTAAATAGTATAAGTTGTGTACAGAGTGAAACAAATAAATTCGTTATTTTATCGTGAGTTTAAATAGTGGACCCACGGAATCCGTAACAATTGGTGTCAGAAGTGGGATTCAAGAGGATTTTAAGAAGAAATTAAGTGGATTGGAAGATTTTTAGACCGAATTAGAGTATTTTTATGGTTGGTACAAGGGGAGCAGGCGAAGAAAATGGAGGAAGTAAAAGCAAATTATTGGGCGATTTTATGGAGAATATGAGAAGAGAAAAGGCAGAAGAACAAGAGAGGTTGCGAAAAGAGAAAGAAGAGGAACAAAACCATCTACAGAAAATACTTATGGAAAATCAAGAGAAAATGTTAGAAGGTTTAGAAGCCCGTCAAAAGAAAGAGAAACAAGAAGAACAGGACCGGCTTGAGAAAATACTGGGTAATTTAGAAATTCGTCAGAAAAATGAATGGAGGGAAATTTTAGAAGATATAGAAACGCGGCCGCCAGAAAGAAAGACAAGAAGATCAGGACCGTCTTAAGAAAACTTTAGAAAATCAAGAAATTCGACTTCAGAAAAGCTTGGGGGAACAGCAACAAGCAATGTTGGAAGTACGTTGCCAGGCACAGCAGAACCACTTTCAAGAAGCCGTAGAAGATCTTGAGGAACGCCTTCAGCAAAAGATAGAAAGATTGGAGATGGACCTACAGAAGACCAATGTACAAGTAAAGACACCTGGCGTTCAAGGAACAGCGAACCTTAAGGCCCCGACCTATGATGGACAAACGACATGGACAATGTACCACCGTCAGTTTGAAGAGCCGCCGCTGCCAACGGATGGACTGACCAGGAGAAAGCAGCGGCACTTGTCATCGCGCTGCGCGGCCCTGCCCTGGAACTGCTGCAAACTATTCCTGCAGCCCAACAGCAGGAATACGAAACCTTGGTTGCTGCATTGGACAGAAGATATGGCGATCAACATCGACGTCAACTTTACCAGGCCCAGAGAGTAATAGTAGTTGCATAAGTTGTGTTGTAAATAGTATAAGTTGTGTACAGAGTGAAACAAATAAATTCGTTAAGTATTTTATCGTGAGTTTAAATAGTGGACCCACGGAATCCGTAACAATAATAAATATGATTTTGATGCAATATGACTTCTATTTGTTTGGGGGTACCACCTACGTGTGTTTTAACTGATTTGAAGAGTAATAACTTTTCGTATGTACGTGTATTAAACTACAAAGTGAAAAAATATATATTTCCGTGATTTTTTACGTAAAAAAATATATCTTGGTAAAAATCGCTACAAGCAACCGTTCTCAAGATATTTAGAATGGAGATAGTCAGTACATGTTATTATTGGCAAAAAATAAACATGCTCAGTAGATAGTTATTTGACTGAGATGAAATATTTGGGAACTTTTAATTTTTTTAAATTAATCATAAATTTTTCTTCAAAAAAATTATGATAAAACAGTTTCTAAAAATGAAACTTCTACACCCTGTATCTCCGAAACTAAGCATTTTAGGACATACATTTAAATGATGTTTTTTACTTATTTTTATCTGTAAAATATGCTGCCGAAGTTTCCGGAATATAGTTTGGACCACCCTGTATAAAGTGTAAATACATAAGTAACGAAAATAATCTGGAGTTACAACATATTTTTTCATATAATCATGGTATTTTTTTTAAAACCATTATCTCCTGATTTTTATCGCCTTTAGTCATTTACACATTACACAAGCAAAGTGTAGCCATTTAAAAGACACTCTGTATATAATTAGGTAAAGTTATATTCAATCTTCTTCAATAAAAGTTTCGTCAAAGTTTTGGAAAATACCGTTGTCACATTCGTCAAGATTTTTCCTGTAATCTTCTCCAAAATATTTTAACAACAAAGGCTTAACTTTCAACTGAAATTCAATTAAAATAATATAAAAAAATATTTACGAAATAAAGATAATGTGTCAATAAAGTTTCAACCACAGCTTATTCACTACCAGCAGGTCACTTTCGCCTATAAATCAATTCTGACGATTCTTTGAACGAACGAACCGTAGAAACGAACGAGTCGCCTTGTGGTCCGATTCATTTCTTACGACTCGTAAGTTCAAATTTTATGGATCCGCGCTGGCCACGATTCAGTTGAACGAACCAATGACTAAAGAATACAAGGACTAATAACACCCGAGACCAAATTGTTACCATGGCACCAAACAGTGCCGTGGCACATATTTTTCGTAACTTAGTTGCTTGAAGAGATATTTATTTTTTTGATAAATGTTTTGACGTTAAAAAAACCTATTAAAACGTTAACAAAAGGTACAAAACTAGTATCGACGTATAGCACATAACAAGTACATACTAAGGGCTGGCAAAGATTAGTTTTGGGTCGAGATTTCCGTACGTAAGAAGAGTACAATGCGTTTATAATGTACTGAACAAAGAGAGAACAGTAAACACGTTGCCAAACGTATGAAATAAACCGAGAAACTGTGCACATCGCTAAGAGACGTGGAAGGGGTTATAGCAGATTTGTCGCAGTTGACCGGTCGACCCAATCAATACCTCCAGGTGGATGACACTTCTTATGGGAGAACTGGCAATGGTTGAAAACTTGACTACAAGCGATTTTCTAGGAATCTTCCTTACCGATAAATTATTGACAAGAGTGACAGATAAAGCCTTGACGTTCTTTCAGTATTCCAGTTCATCTCTTTTTCTTTCTAAAGTGTGCGTTGAAAGGAGACAAAAACAATTTTTGGTGACCCATAATTTGTTATTCGAACACCACTTTTCTCCTTGTCGGGTCGTTGACGTTGACTTGTCGCCATTTTATTTCTTTTGTTTACACGCTGCATTTTGCTTTGCAAATTTAATACATAAATTATTTAGGCAAATATATAGGTTTTTAATAAAACTCCTCGGACTAACGTGTAGGTAAGTGTTGATAATTTTTTTTTCATCTTAACATGCTCATTGTCGTTCTCCTGATTTTAGGTGACAGAAAAGGATCATCAAATCAAATTGAATTTTATATTTTCCTTCCTATTTATCCTTCCTAAATATCAACGAGATGAGCCATCGGAAGAAAGGGACCATAGTACAAAACAGAAAGGTGATCTTTTTTCTTTCCACTTCGGATATTGAAATTATTATATACTGTAGTCGTGTTCGGCATTATGCTCTGAGAAATATAGATAAACAAAGAACAACAGATATAAAGCATCCCAGAGGAAAAGAGAGGCAATACCTGTATGTACTCTCTCTGATATTTGTGAAAGTTACAGCAAAGTATTGTTGTAAATGTCATCTTTTTGATCGACCTGAAAACTTCGAGCAAAAAGATGACACTTTCAACAATACCCTGACAGATATCAGAGACAATACAGGTTTTTCCTCTCGTTTCCCCTGGAATACTTTTAATTTATTATTCTTTGTTTATCTAGATTTCGCAGAGCACTATGAACGAACTCAGCTTGTATGTTTGAAATAATCGTCCAGTTGACTTAAAAATGATGATCCATACCCATATGTACATTTCCCATATAATTTTACTTTCAAAATTATGATATATATCTTCATTTCTAAGCCATCTATGACGCCATTTTTTTTCAGTTTTGTTATAATTAATTTTGTCTCTTGATCTACTTGTAACATTATTCTTTTAATTTTATTAATTTATTGTGGTGAAATTAATTTCTGTTGTATGTTTGATATTGATATTAAACATATTTGTAAAAAATGGTGTATTTTTTGTGTTTTTATGTATGTCATAATTAAAAATAAATGAAGAATTAAATTTTTTTATTTTTTTAAACTTTCCGCCATGTGTGACAATCTAGTCCGTAGTTCCTACAAGCGAAATTGGGGGCGCTAGTAGCAGTAGACTTGTCAACAGTGTCAAATTTAAACGTCAATTTCACTTTCCAATATTTAGCAAGGCGCTCGCACTTCTTCTTGTGTATGTGTTTTGTGTCTGTCAGTACTTAAAGTTCTAGGGAAAGGTGTACGTCATGCGGTCAGCTTCACGATTTAATTACGTCTCGTGATACTTAATTTGTTTATTTATTAACGAGTCGTTGTAATTTTCCTATAGCTTGATTTTTTTAAGTGCAAGCTAGAAACACTTGCATTTTGGTAAAATAAGTGGAATTGAGTGGGTGTTCGATAGTGGCCGCGCTATTACAATTCTGAATTCAAAAATCGATATCTCGAAATCTATTAGAAATAATAGATTGTAGTTTTTTCAAGAACTTTGTTAATATTTCTGCTGTATTTTCTTTGTGACAGTTATGTGATGTGTATGTTTTCTCGTTATAAAAAAAAGACACCCTAACGATATCCTTATAATTCCATTTCAGATGCTCAGAAACATGTCTAATGATTTTATCTAGTTATCTCTTGAAAAAAAGTCTTTTAAAAATAAGCGGTTTGCGATCGTGATTTTACTTTACTTGATAGGGAAAGGCGTATCGGCAACGCCGCAACAGCACACAGTGTAACGAAATCGGGAAATGCCGGACATTAGCCCAAAAAACATAAAAAATAATTCATCAAGTTTTTTATATAGATGGATAAAGGACATCCCAGAGCCCCACCATGTGAGATATTTCTTGAGTTGACCTCTTAGTCGGGGAGTTATGGCGGGTTAAAGTTATGGTTTCCTTAATTTACCAAATCTGTATAAAAATTTCATACAATGAAATTTATTATTTTCAGAAGTTTCCTTGTGTTGTTCAATTCCAACAATTTTTTCCGTAAAAAGAGGTCTTTTACCAACAAGAAACCTGAAAAAAATGTCCCAATTTTTTTCAAGTCTAGTTTCTACAGGTTTATTATGACTTTCAAAAAAACGCTTACATCCGCGCAAGGTTATATATACAAAATATCATAGAGTGAACCTTCTAGTATACTGTTACATATAAATTTCATCCACCTAGATCCGAACCTGGAAGAAAAAAAAAATTCTTCGCCAATAATTACATTTTCCATTGATTCGACCGTAGTTTTTATCCGTAATTTTTCGTGCTATAATTTCTTTATTGACAAAGCTATACGCTTGCTATGAACATACTGAATGCTATTTTAGGGGCGAGGAACCATCCTCACATTGGGGTGGGGGACAGTTTACTTATTCATAAAATCTCAACATTGAAGAAAAATTACTCAAGAGAATATTTTTTCAAACCGGCAAAATTTTCTTCGATGTATTTAACACTCCACCCTCAATGCTGCATCATTGTTGGTGCCAAACTATTGAAGATATATTGCACAACTTATTGATATATTCAGATCCTCTACTTTCACATCTGCGACCAAAGCACTCTAAAAATAAAAAGTAAACTTGTTTCCCGAAGCGAAAGAGCTCTTGTATATGGATGGAGAAGAAATTGAGAATGATTTTTGTGCCTTACATATTATGTTATTTTGGAATATACACCCCACATACATTATCGCATCACTTATTAATTTGGAAAACTGCAAAGTATTCTTAAATTCTCTTGGTTAACAATAATCTCAAAAGTTATTTGCATTAATAGCAACTTGTTAAGGAATGGAAGGTATATCATAACTCAGGCAGACCTTAGATTTAAGTTTTTCACATAAAAATGTTTGAAGCGTTTCAAGAATAAATACTACGAAAAATATAAGTGTTGTGAAATTTTTTGTGAGGTGTATATTATGGTTTCCTTTGTTGAAGTTGAATACGTTTTTTTCGCATATTATCATATTATTTAATACTGTTAAATGATATTTGCCACTTGTGTCGTTCTCTTTGAGTTTTGCAGTCTTATCTAATTTATCCCTGATTATTTGAATATTTAGGAATGTTGATTGAGTTTTGACATATTAGCGGGAGATAAATGATTGTTCGACAGTAATTTGATGACGTTTTTGGTCCATAAGAGCTATAAACTCTTCGTAATTAAAAAAATATACCTGTAAAGTCCTTTTATAAAACTTCGTATTTTTTTGACTCTTTTCGCCCTGTAGCAAAAATTCCTAGTCGTATTATTTAATTTCTGTCAAAAAATGTCAGCAAGAATAGTGATAACTGAAGAAAAATTCCAATGTCCCACTATTTTAGTTTTCGTTACACTGTGCGTCGCGCGTAGCGTCGATCGGTCGCATTTCTCTCACTCCGACTTAATAAGATCCCTATGAATTTACTTCCACACATGTAAATGCCGACCCAAAAGTAACAGTTGCCAGCACGGTATAACATCAGAAACATAATTAACGAATTCAATAAAAAAACGCTAAAAAGGTGGAGTGGACTGTTTATTTACCTATGAACCGTAACTCCTGGCTCTTTCTTATCGCTGCGGCTTTTACACTTGAAAGCTAAACAACTAATCACCATTGTAATAAAGTTTAGACAAAGACGCTAAAATTGTCGCTGATGACTCATTCGTTACAACCAAAAAAATGGCGTCTAACATCACAATTTCTGCTGCAGCCCGTATATGGGCGTTACATGTCCTTGTTTTCTTTAGTCATTGGAACGAACATTTCACGATTTATTTTTAATACTCGTTCAAATTTCAAATGAACGATTTGTTCAATCTTTGCCTACATCAACTGAATACGAATGAGCTGTTGTTTCAAAAAAATTCTTGTTTTTTACCTTATCTTTGACTTCTTCTAATTTGTATCCTTTGTAAAAAGCTATAGTTTCCAATTTTCTAACTGACTTCAGTCGTTTGGTAGGGTCAACTTCTAGTAATCTTAGCAAAAGATCCCTCGAAGGAGTTTCTGAAAGTTCTCTATCCGGCAATTTCAATACGGAAGACGATGTTTCGTGGTTTATAGTCAAAGATGGAAGCTGAAAATAAAAAAACTAGTATAGTTTAATAAACAATATACTGTTGTATATAATAAAATTTGACCAAGTTTGATGTTTCATAACTTTTTATTTTGTAATCTGATTTTTATGATTATGGTATCAGTATGAAGATAAATTTATTGGCATTATTTTTTATTATTTTAGTGGGTTATATTATTCGATTGGGTTGATTTATACCGGGGTAAATCAAAACGTGGTTTTTTGCAATAAATTCAAAACACCCCGTGGAAAAAATGAGACGGGCATTTTGACATAAAAGACACTTTCCTGTAAACTTAGATTTATTCCTAACATTTCCTTTTTTGAATTATCCCATTATCTCTATTCGTTTATGAGCTACACATTTGTATCGAATGAATAAGGGTAGTTATTCTTTTTGATCAAGAAAACCCTTTACAAGAGCTAAGACTAGCATTACAAACAGGTTAAAGGCAAAGAAAAGAAAGTCCTCCTAGCTACTGTATGTCATATATGTATGACCTGCAAGTAAATACTAGTCTATGGACATCTTTAGAACGATTTTATTCTACAAGACTAGTGAACCGAATGCGAAGTTAATAAACAACAAACAACGAAAAATTGATCGCCTCGTACATAATTTTCTACGTGTTTACCAGCCGTAGGCGCATATTTTCAGTGTTTTTTTTTTCGATTATAAATTATCGTAGCGTTTCGTATGTAAATCCTTGTAGTAAATCCAATTATGCCGCGTAGTATGTAAAATAGACTAGTATTTTTACAAGGCGAAATTAACGAGAAGAACTATCAGGCTGGACCGATTCTTGTAACGGCGAAGATAGAGCTGAATCTCGAAGCAAGTACAATCCAGTGGCGTGACAACAGAACTGGCAAAAAAGGAGGGTTTAGAGATACCTCAAAATCTTCTGTCTGTTAAATATGAAGCTACTTTAGTGATGACCAAATGCCAAGACCAAGATTTGGCCTCGGTCTTGGAATCGCCTGTTCCTCTGCGAGCTGTTCAGGTCTATTTTCGTTCTAGCGATTTGTTGGCTACCTGTCTATAATATAATAAGTGGTGAGTATCCTCCCTGTCTTGTAGTCTATTAAGTAGTTTTGGTTTTGCAGAGTCCAGTCTTGGTATTGATCTTACTGCAAGTCTTGCACTTAATAAATTTTTACTACAGGTACTTTCTACATAGAAAATCTTTAAATAAATAGTACTTTACGTAATCTAAAGCTTTAAAGAAAGAAACAATATTTGTATGGTTAAAATGTTTATTTTTCAATATACAGAGGGAGTCTTAAATAAGTGCAAATATTTTCAGGATTGGTAGTTTTCGATAAAAGAAACATATTTCCTCTTTACCGTTTTTCAAATAAGTCCAATTTTACTTTGAAAATTTATAAAGAGTTGATTTTTCGCTTAAATTTTGAGAACCACTGGATCTTAATTGGGTTTTCTTTTTTGTAAATGTAATTTACTACCTATGTTGCCATATTATGAAGATATTATGTTTTTTAATTAAGAATTTAAAAATTCCAAATTTTCAAAAAAAAATTTCGCGGAAAAACCTCATAAACGTGTTTCTGGGCTCGAAATATACTATCCCTAAAAATATAAAACAAATAAAAATGCAAGACCGCAAATTTCTTACTTTTTAGTTCTTGGTCTTGGTCTTACTTTTTGTGTAAGAAAATCTTGTATACGTGACTATGGTTGTAGGAAAAATAATATTTATAAATATGTGTATGGTTAATATAATTTTGTACGCCACTGCAAACAGTCCAGTTTTTGCTTGACCTGTTGGGAGTGGGCGTAATTACATTTAATGGAAGATAGGATCAAAATTCTAGGAATCGGATCAATCGCGTTACGAAGTCGATTGATTGGTTTACAATCAACTTGAAAAAAATCTTTTGGTCTGAATTAAACTAGAAACATGTCTAATGCCGGGTCCAGACCAAGGCAACAAAAAGTAAACACTATTTTGAAACAAAAACAAGACAAACTTGCGACAAAAAGTGGGGAATTCTGACAAGGCAAACTTGAGACAAATTGTCCACACCGCAAGGACAAAAGTACAACAAAGACAAAAGTTTAGTTGTTGCGAATAAGTTTTATTAACCATGTGTGATTTCACTAGTCTCCTACTGTTGGCAGCACACGCCATCCTGCCCGACAACTTGTCGTAAAATATACGAACAAAACGTAGACATTTTGATCTTTACCGACTCGAGACGAGTGCGGAGATTCCGTAACAATCATCTGCCTTTGAATATCAAATCGCTTTCATTCTTTCCCGCATTTCGCAAGGCTCTAAAATCATACCTACTGGAGAGAGCCCTATATGCGGTAAACGACTTTTTTGTTAATATTTAATTACGAACAATTTTGAATTTTAAAACTTTGATCATCTCACACACTGGTCAAAGGTCAAGTATTTAATATTCTATAACTTTAAAATTAGATCTATTTACTGCGTACTGTTCTAAAATTGTCAATGTATATTCTTTTTGTAATTTTAAAGACTTAATTTTTTTTGAATTGTATTATTTGTATTGTGTAGGGGAAAACCGCTATGAAGTGGACATATTATTAAAAGGAGTTATATTAATTACTAATCGAAAATGAAATGAATTAAAAACTACATAGGTTGAAAGCTTCATCAATATGCTTTTAAAATATATTATTAAATTTATTTTGGAAATATTGTAATTGGGAGTAATATCTAAGTTTGAAAAAAGTTGCTTTTGTCCATTTCAAAACATCGATGTATTGGAATGGACAGTAGTGGTTATGAAAAGTTTTAGCGTGAATTTTTAGTAGATGACGTCCAAAGATTGATCTCGAAAAACTTGCCAGCGGCAATTTTTTTTTGTTCATTCCGTAGACGTCTTTAGAGACTTTTAGATTATTTGAAATCTTTTTTGATGACTCTGTTATAGTCTGTGAAACGAATAACTTTGAATTTGACAGTTCCCGCGGGCTTTTCTAGTGTATATTTTATTAGGTTAGCAACTTGCGGCCATGCTGATGCAATGCCGTCTCTAATAGAACAGCCTCGGAGCGAGATTTATGACGTCACGCTAGTTAGATACTACGGATTACTAAATATGTTGTAGAATACATGGAAATCATAATTATTCCTCGTATATGTAATTTTTTGGATTATATTCAAGACTATTTTTTTTCATATGACACAACACTGATGAATGCTATAAACGTTAGCTATAACGTTTTTTTAAACCAACAAAAATAATGAAAACCCAAATAAAAACTTAATCAGCGTTTTTCCCGAACCTAAATCCCAAGAAAATCAAAAATTTTAGAATAATTTTACATATAAAATGACAGCGATCTTTATTTCATAGCCATCGCTGACGCCTTTTTTCTATGATATTGTATTATTTGCAAATATAATTTTTCGAACATTGATACTTGCAAAATATACATATAAATTTTGTGAATGCAAATAATAATACGGATCATCTATTAGTAGATATTGAATGTTTTTTGTTAAATTAGATCGATTTTCAAACCTCAAAATTTAAAATATTTTTTACATTTTACCCATTATCTTATGTACCTATTCATTATTTTTATATTGTAAATATTTGCTGTATTTGTATGGTTCATAGTTTATTTGCCAAAGTATTTTTACTATAAATAGGTATATATATTGTATTTATTAACTGTATATTATGTATATTTCATGTAAACTATATCATTTTTAAAATACAAACCAAAAGTACGAGGAATAATTATGTCTGCTATGTATTCTACAACATATTTATTAATCCGTGATATCTAACTAGCGTGACGTCATAAATCTCGCTCCGAGGCTGTTCTATTAGAGACGGCATTGGTCTGATATTTAAAAATGTCAAAGGTTGATGACATTTAACTTTTGTCAATTATGACATTTCGTGTTGATTTTTGCAAGAAGAGGAAGAACTGTCGCTTGTTTTATTATTTTCCTTTTCTATTTCACGCAGTGTTACCAACTCCGGGATTTTATCCCTAAATTTGGGGAGAAAAAATCTATATGGGGATTTTTTTAGGGAGTAAAATTTTTTGGGGACATTTTTAGGGATAAAATTTCAATGGAATTTTACCGCTACCAAAGAGGAGATAAGACCGCTGCTGCTATTTTTGAAAATTAATAGGGAAGTATCAATAAAACAAAATAATTTATTTATTTTAATCACCGAATCTTGGAGAGAACAGTTGTGGGATTTTAGTTGTTTGGATTTAAGAAGGTTTGATATTGCTTTAATGGAAAGTTTCGAACAGTTGGCTACATTGCTGTGATCAGACGTTTCAAGGTCAACCACTTAAAACACAACAAATTGTTTATTTATTATTATTTATATTTTAGGGTTTTTTCGGGATATTTTTTTAGGTTTTTAGGGATATTTTGGGGATTTTTGATGCGAGTGTTTAGATTTTTTGGGAGATAAATTTTTGAGAGTTGGGAACACTGATTTCACGAAATTAAAAACAGTTACCTATCTGATTCGTTCAGGCACTCATTTTAAAGAATATCAAGAATATCAATAACTTTTTGGACAGAGGGATTTTATATTTGCCATGTTGGTAAAAAATAACAGTCAAAATTCAAAGTTATTCGTTTTATAGACTATATTAACTGGACTTTTATTGATTTGCCAGATAAGTTATCGGCATAAACTGCATTTCTTTCCGTAACTGTGTGTTGTTAGGACAATTTCGAATCGTTTAGCGCGGCTGGCCATTTCCTCGCGGCGTGTTTACCTGTTATCTTTGTGTTTTCAATATTGCGCGCAGGTGCGCTTAACGGGACGCACAAGGCAAAAGCCTATAATCGTAAAATCTACGGCCCCGCCGAACCGAACATTCCGTATGCAAAAGAACCGTAACGCGCCTAATGATTTACTATGACTGGCGAAACGGCTCCAAGGACCACACATCTCAGGAGAATACAATTACCGTTCAATCACACCGCGGCCGTATTTCAAAATCAAAAACCCTAAAGACG